CGTCGGCTCCTCTCCGGGTCGTCGCGAAGCGCGCTCGTTAAGGAGGATCCCCCCCCCCCCTTTTTATTTTATTTTTGAGGGCGTCTCAGGCGCGAATAAAGGGGACATTTGCCAGCCCCGGCTCCCTTGCTCTGGCCTTGGAAGGGAAGCAGGATCCGGCCTGATTCGTACTGGATGAGAGGCCACTAGGAAATTCCAGGGTAGTTAGCCGGTGAAATGGGGGGGGGGGAATAGATCCCAAAAGAAGGCAACCCACTCGCCTCTCGTGCCCAGCGAAGAGCGGAGCTGCTGCGGTTGCAGATTCCCTTTACTTTCGATTTCAGACAAGGTCCTGCAAAGGGACGCCAGCAACTCGGGCTTGGCAGGAGGATCCGATGTGCGTGATCTCCCTTCTTGCAGTGTCAGCGCCCCACATTGCAGATCCAGGCAGGGGCTTAGTCCAACCCCCCCTTTTTTTTAGAACAATGAGAACAAGGGAGAGGAGGAGGAGGAGGAGGAGGAGGAGGAGAGAGAATTAGCCCCCTTTCTCTCCAAGGGACAGGATCCGGCAGGAACGGACAAGTGAAGCAGAGGCGTTCCCTTCCAGCAACTTGGCCCTTATTTCCCCCTGCCAGGGGGCAGATTCAGCCACGCGCCTGAGGAGGCTATAGAAAATCCAGGTTTTGTCCTTCTGCCGCTCATGAAAATACTTGTTTTTCAGAGCAGCGCCTCGCCCCGGACTTCAAAGAGCGGCGGTCGCTGGAGCGGCCGGTTCCCCGGAGCGGAGCGTCGGAATCCCCTGGATTTCTCTCCAGGATCTCCAGCCCGGCGGAGGAGATCCCGCGGCCGCCCTCCTTGGCGCTGGGCTTGGGCGCCCCCTGCCGGACGCGGCTGGAGAATGGCTGCCCAGTGACCCGGGGCTCGCACCCGCCCAGCGGCCGGCATGGAGAAGACTTACTCGCTGACGGCGCACTACGACGAGTTCCAGGAGGTGAAGTACGTGAGCAAGTACAGCAGCAGCGGGGCTCTGCCCAACGGCTTCAACTTGCAGCTGGGCACCGCCGGGGCCAAGAAGCCCCGCTGCGGCTTGCCCCGGTGGAGCCGGCGGGAGATCTGCCTGCTCTCCGGCCTGGTCTTTGCGGCGGGCCTGTGCGCCATTCTGGGGGGCATCCTGGTGCTGAAATACCTGGCCCTGGACCAGGATGCCTACTGCCTGGAAGGCTGCCAGGAGCGGAAGGCGTTCACCAAGGCCTCCCGGTTCATCGCCACCAACATCGACCCCACCATCGACCCCTGCAAGGACTTCTACTCCTTCGCCTGTGGTGGCTGGCTGCGCCGGCACGGCATCCCCGAGGACGAGCTCACCTACGGCACAATCACTGCCAGCGGCGAGCAGAACGAGGAGAAGCTGCGGCGGCTGCTCCAGCAGCCGGTGCGGCGTCCCTACCGGGCCTCGGCCGAGCGCAAGGTCAAGGAGTTCTTTCGCTCCTGCCTGGACATGGCGGAGATCGACCGGCTGGGTGCCTGGCCGATGCTGGAGGTCGTCGAGGACTGCGGGGGCTGGGATATGGGTGCCCTCGGGAGGCAGGCCCAGTGGGACTTCAACGAGCTCTTCTACAAGACGCAGGGCGTCTACAGCACCGCCGTCTTCTTCTCCTTGACCGTCAGCCTGGACAACAAGAATTCTTCCCGCTATGTCATCCGGGTAAGTTTGTGCCACAGGTAGGACCCATGCGCCCAGGGGGGATCCATGGGGACATGAACAGCCGCCGTGGCTTGATAAGGGGGCAGAGAGAGGGGCAGAAGGGGAGGCCCAGAACTGCTGCGGACCAAGTGAGTCCATTGGTCTCTTGAGCACAATCTTGGATGTATGGAGGAGCCCCCTCCCCACCCCCCTGCAGGGAGACCACAGCCCTCTTTGCGTGCAAGGGAACCTCAACCCGCAGGGTCAGGCAGCTTGGCTCCCTTGAGATCTGTGCCGACCCCTAGTGGATATTTCCAGCATTGCGCCCGATGGCCGTGCGCATGATGTTCCTGCTTCCCGTGAGGGATCCTTCACCTGTCTCCTTCCTGTGTTTGGGGACATACAGACTCCCCCGTGAGTGCAGGTCCTCTTGCGTGTCCAGACCTCCGTTCCTTTAGCAGTTGTTTTTCAGTGCAGTGTGAAGTCACCCTCTACTTTCTTTCCAGAGAGAAATCAATTGATCACTTTTTAAAAGGTTATCAGGACAGAAGGCTGATGTTTTTCTGTGTTTCCAGCAGTTATGAAATGCCTCGTCTCCCAACAATGGCAAAAGGAAGGACCCCTTTCCACCTGTTTAAAACTAATGAATTGTCCACGGGGGAGGGACGGGAAAAAGCAGCGTCATGTATGTCACAATGTCATTGTGGTTTCTAAGCCACCTTTCACTCCAACGGGGCAGAAAGCAAGCAGACGTTCTTAAGGAAGCCCAACGTGGCTGGCACGCCACCTCTCTTGTTTCCCTTCTGGCTCTCAGAAACAACGTTCATCTGCTGTGTCAGGAGTTTAGTTTTCCCAATATTGGTGATTCTCAGATGAAAAAAACTGGGGCCACTTGGATCCCCGCTTGCCCATTCTCCGTGGGGAATTGTACTTAAAGCACCGGGATCGTACGTGTTGTTTAATTACTTTCTTTTCCGGGGCTTACGGATCGCTTCAGTCGTGAACGACTCTCAGCGTCATTCATCCCAACCTCATAAACTGTGCTACAAACAGTGCAATAAAATGAAATCAAATCAATAATATCGCACACAGGATAGCATCCGATGCATCTGATTTCAGACGATGCTTCCATCTTCCATTATTTCACAGCAGACTTCCCCAATTTGGGGTCCTCCAGATGTTTCAGCTGCCACTTCCAGCCGGCAGGACGTGTACTTGGACAGATTGTCAGGGTGCAGAGGGGGAAATCTGCCTTTCAGTATCCCAGTGGTGTGAACCCAAGCTGCATTTCTGCCTCCGGTACTCCTGCCTTCAGTACTCATAAGTTACACAGTCCAGCCTCACACCTACCTCCAGCTCCTCACCCAGCAGCATAGCGCTTTCGTCCATGAGATCACACTGCTGGGACAGCTTTGCATAGAAAGGCTTTGGGGAGGGGGCATTTTGCTCTGTGGCAGCTCATGCCTATCGCTTGTAGTTGTGTAGTGAAAATCTCACCGACTCAACAGTCGGCCAGGGTCGAGGTCTGTTTGCACTGAACGAGGTTAGGGGCCTGCCTGGCCATCCCCTCTGCCTGTATGCAGGCGGAGAGATTCGTCTTTCAGCGCAAACCTACGTTCTGTGCGCATTGAATTCAGACAGCCGTGGGCTTCTGTGGCACAGAGATGGTTGTTTACAGATGGGAATCAAAGGGTTTTACGGGTGAAGAGAAGCGGGAGAGTGTCCTGTTCTCAGGGTGGCCTTTTTGTGCTAAAGCAGAGAGGCCAAGCCTTGGAAAGATCAGGCGCCTTGGAAGTGCAACAGGTCATTGGGCCAAAATGCTGGGCTGTTGCGATTTTCTCATCCTTTGCTATGATGGCAGGTTAGAGGGAGGCAGACACAGCTGTGATCGTATAAAACAGGTGAGATGTGTTTTTGCAGGCAACCGATCCCATCTCTGTCCGGGTTCAACCTGGTGATTGAATGGTGTGCAGAGTATTGGCGGCATGCAAATTTAATAAATAAATAAAAATGGAATCTTTAGTTAACCGTATGGTCTCAGTTTGCACAAGAGACAAACTCACAATTCTGCAAACCAGGTTTTAAACCTGAGATTAACTACAGGAGTATTCATTAATTAAGCGTAGGCCTAGTTGCTACAGTTGGCTTGCTGGTGCAAGAGATTGCTGACACTGCACTTCATTTCTAAGTTACTTGGAGCAGCGTTTCTCAACCTTGGAAACTTTAAGATGGGTAGACTTGAGTGCTGGCTAGGGAATTCTGGGAGTTGAAATTCATGCATGCTGGCTGGGGAATGCTGGGAGTTGAAGTCCACTCATCTTAAAGTTGCCAAGGTGGAGAAACGCTGGCTTAGATATTATGACTCTGGGGAGGAGGGTTCTTAGAGGCAAGTCACGTTAAATTATATTGCAAAAATCAGGAATTCATCTACTCTGAAAAAACCACCCCAGGACTACGGCAAAGAAGGTGATAATACATTTGTGGAAAGTTGTTGGTCTCAACAAAATTTGCCAGCTTTCAGGCTCTGCAGTGATGGAATTGCTAGATCAGACAATGTCATTCCATAAACCTTTGGTTTAATTCAGTACCTAATATTGGAATTGTAATGATTTTAATATACACATCCAGAATTAAACATTTTTATATGGAACAATAATAGTGAAATCACAGAATCTTGCATTCCTTTTTATTTTGTTCTTTTCTTCTAGCTTTTAAAATTTCTTTCATTTAATGTATTTCTCCCCGCTTTCATTCTTTTCTTTCCCTGTTTTTACCTACTTTTGCTTATGTTTCTGCTTTTACGCATGCAGCATTTCCTGTAATATAGTTTATATACGTTTGTTATGTTCAACAAGGTCTTTATAACTATATAGAAATCTAATTTAGGATGGTGATGCTCAATCCAGATGGCAGAAAATCAATCAATATACCCAAGTCCACTCAACCTAAAGTTGCTAAGGCGGAAAAACCCTGATCCAAGCAATAAGAAACAACGAGGCGAGTCATCCTAAATTAGTAGTCACAGTGCAGCAAGGAGTGGGGGGGGGTCAAAAAAGTTAAGATGGCAGCTGCCTCCCCGCCATCAACCCCTCGCTCCTTTTTTATAAGTTACGTTGCGTGTAAAATGGGTCGGCCTTCGATTGCCTATTCGCAGCTGCGATCTTGGCTTTTCTGCCAACAGCCCTGCGGTGCAGAACGCTTTTGAATAGCTGGAAAGGTCTCTCAGACTTGTTCTGGTTCGCTCCGGCCTGGCCTCTTCTGCACGGGCTCTGTAGTCAGTGTTCGAACTCCTTAGTGTGAGGACAGCTCCGGGCCTTCTCCTTTTAAAGTTATTCCCGCAGGTTGGACTACAACTAACACTGTTTTATGGCCTTGGCAGGATGGGTGCCCGTGGGGAACGTGGGCAGACAGATGATGAAATACGCTTGACAGCGTTGCCTCCCTGTGCAAATGCTGCAACGTCTGTGCCAGCATCTCCTTTTATGTTCTTCCTTTTAAGCCTATCATCTTTTCTATAATAGCGTTATAGTTTATATACAAGTTGGTTATTATGTGTTATCAACTGTAATGGCTTTCTAACATTCAATAAAAAATATATTAAAAGAAAACCTAAGGTAGGACGGCGAGGCTCCATGCAGGTGGCAGACAATTCATCAGCGCCTGTCGCAACGTTTGCGGGCTGCTGGCCCCAGGTGGGTTGCCCTTTCGGCACGAGTGCTTCCGCGTGGCAGGGAATGGTGGTTATTGTAGTCCAAAGGGTCCGCAGGGAAGAGATTGGGGAAGGCAGAAATTGGGGCATAGCCTTGCAAACCAAACTCAAGCTTCGTTTTGAATGCCAGCTGGTTGTGCCCAAGGGCGCGTGCAAACACACCTGGAAGGATGTGCAGAGGGGTAGGCTGGTTTCCACACTCACGTCTCCTCTCCCCCCCGTCGAGCCCTTCGGAATGACTTTTCCTGCCATAAAGGAAATTAAACTCGGCAGGTAGAAGACCGTTTTTCAGAAGAGAAGCTTCACATCCGAATGATCCAGTCGTGATTTGACATTTTGGCCAAAAGAGACCGCAGGGTCCGCATCGACGAGCAGAGACGTATTCCCTGCCTTTAGGCCCAGGCAACGCTACATTCACACAACACTCTGATCTGGGTTACTCCGTTACGGCCCTTGCAGGCTTAAATTGGTTTTCTCCTCCTCATTCCTGGAAGCTGCCTGTTTTTCAGCTCCTGTGCGACCCACACCCTCGCTTAGCACACTTCACACATTGCATGTTTCATTACCCTAGCAATTTCCTTTCCTGCCGGGGCGGAGGGAGACCCATATGAAGAAGCTGAGCTGGTAGCAATGGGCAAATTTGCCACAAAGGCCGGGCAGCGTCGGTTTCGGCTCTGATTTCCCCCAACTCCTCTGTTTATTCTGAATTGGCAAGAAAGGTGGGAAAGAGAAGGGTTTGCGGGCAGGTGGACGGGAATGGCCGACTCGGGCCGGGAGCGGAGGGATGCCACGTGGAGCGCCAGGCCTACTTTTGCGTGACGGTGACCAGCGGGCCGTTTTTGGAACGGCTTTTTGTGCCCGAATTAAGAGACGTTTGAGGAGAGGGAAGTTTTCCTTCCTTGTAATTGCAGCGTTTAGCAAAAGCAGTCTGCTGGAAGATTCTTCAGGGGAGTATTGGGGAGGGAGAAGACCTCTCTGCACCAGTGTTTCTCCACCTTGGCCGCTTGAAGATGGGTGGACTTCAGCTCCCAGAATTCCCCAGCCAGCCTTGCTG